ACGCGCTGCTTCTCCAGCCATGCTGAGGCCGCGTCCCACATACAGCAACTAGAAGGATGTGCAGCTATGACACACAACTATCTACTGGGGCTTTTGGGGGAAAAAATAAATAAATAAAATCTTTAAAAAAAAAAAAAAAAGATTTATTGAGATAAAATTCACATACCATAAAATTCACCCTTTAGAGTTTGTGCAATTCAGGGATTTTTAGTGTATTCACAGAGTTGTGCAACCATCACCACTCTAATTCCAAAAAATTTTCATCGCCCCAAAAAGAAATCCTATACCTATGAGCAATCACTCCTCATTCTCCCCTCAGCTCCTGGCAACCACTAATCTCCTTTCTGTCTCTCTCTATTTGCCTATTGTGGACATTTCATATAAATGGAATCATATAATATGTGGCTCTGGTTTCTTCTACTTAGGGTAATGTTTTCAAGGTTCATCCATGTTGTAGCAGGTATCAATACTTTCTTCCTTTTTATGGCCAAATATTCCATTATATGTATGATACCACAGTTGATGGTACGTACATATTTTTGCTGAAGTTCTACTGCTATAGTGATATGGAATTTAAAGCTACAGAATATTAAAATAAAGTGATATGTGTAATTTGGATTGAATATAACATCACAAATAGTGATATTTAAATCTTGAGTTGATTATAAATTGTGCTCTTTATTTCCAAAAGAACACAAAATGTGAGACGGTAGTCACTTTTAACTTTCTGTGAAGTCTCAAACACATTATGATATTTTACATTAGGAAAGATAAGCAGACTATTTTGTTGCTGTTTTTGTGTGTGATTAGCCGAATCTATTTATCCAATTTAAAGGCTTTATAGAATCCATTTTGTTTTTGTTTTTGATTTTTGTGAGGAAGACCAGCCCTGGGCTAACATCCGTGCCCATCTTCCTCTACTTTATATGGGACGCTGCCACAGCATGGCTTAATAAGCGGTGCGTTGGTGCGCGCCTGGGATCCGAATTGGCGAACCCCAGGCTGCTGCAGCAGAGCGCACACACTTAACCGCTTGCGCTACCAGGCTGGCCCGTGTAGAATCCCTTTTGTGTATATATATATATATTTTTTTTTTTGGTGAGGAAGATCAGCCCTGAGCTAACATCCATGCCAATCCTCCTCTTTTTGCTGAGGAGGACTGGCCCTGAGCTAACATCTATTGCCACTCCTCCTCCTTTTTTTCCCTTTTTCTCCCCAAAGCCCCAGTAGATAGTTGTATGTCCTAGTTGCACATCCTGCTAGTTGCTGTATGTGGGACACTGCCTCAGCGTGGCCAGACAAGCGGTGCATTGGTGCGCACCCGGGATCCGAACCCGGGCCACCAGTAGTGGAGTGCACGCACTTAACCGCTAAGCCACAGGGCAGGCCTGTATAAAATATTTAATTGTTCTAAGACAATGGGTTTAATCTCTAAGTCATATTCTAACACATTTTTTATCACAATTTGAAATAAGACATCTTCAGTGAAAAATATCTTTGTGTTTAAATGATATTATTATATTACAAAATGCCAAATTGTTAAGAGACAGAATTTTATTTTCTTCATACTTTGAGATTTGGTATTCATGAATGTATGAAGGTGCGTTACATTTACTTTGAAGATCTACACATAAAATTGTATTTATTTGAATGTGAACATCTAAATAAATCACCAGGATCATCTAAATATTATTTTGAAATTTGACTGCAGGCACTAGCCTTGATTAAGAACTGTAGCCATTTTCTGAACCCATTTAGGAATTTCCTAAAACAGATGAGTGGTTTTCTTTTATAAAGTAATAAATGGGCTTTTAAAAAAGTTAGTAGTTTTATAAGGAAAATATTTTTTGACTATGGAAGTTAATATGAATAAGCTAGATTATGGAATCTTTGATTCTAAAAGATATAAATTCTTGATGAAGAATGTAGAATCTGATCATGAAGTTGACTTTCTCTGCTGTTAGATGAGAATTCTCTTCATGATTAATATCAGAATTTAAAATAGTAAGGTATATTGATAGGTGAAATGTAATACTCCTCACTGTGCGGCGCCCTCTCCCTCTTGTTAGAAAGAGTAGATGAAAATCTTGATTAGAAGATGTGGTAAGTCAAGTTATGTTGATAGGCAGTATAGAGGGGTATTGTGTTTAGGTTTTGTGAGGTGTGGAATATGAGGTCATCAGAGTCACTTGTTTGACTAGGTGCACATCAGTGGAGTTTTAAATTCACAATGTGGAAGGGAATGAGCACTTATCAGAACAGAAGGAAATGTGTGGTTAAACGGTTTCAGCTATAACTGTAGACTATTTCCCTTGGTCCAAATGGGAGGAGAAATGGAACCTTATGTTTTTGGCTTCTTTTCCCATTGTAAGTAGAAATTGATTCAGTGTGGTTTATTAGAGCCCTTAACAAGAAAAATGGTTGTGTTTAGTAGTGGAGGAGGGGAATGACATAAATATGTACTCTTAGTACATATGCCTTCTTAAGGCATAAATCCTATAGGGTTTATTTTATAAGTGTCTCGGTAGTAATTTTTCTATCATATTTATAATTATTGACATTCAATTATTCTTATTACACCGCTCTAAAAACAAGAGTGCCCTAAGATTCTTTGTTGAAGAAATTACTGAATTGAGTAAAGAAAAAGGTGATGTTTCCAGCTTTTCCTCAAAATAAGAAACTGTTTTACCAATGTAAAACAGTTATGTATAGTTATGTAACTATAGGTAATAAATAACGCTGATTTTAGCTCACAAAAGCACTGGGATTATCCAAAGGAGATATATTTGGTACAGGCAAATGAAGACCCTATTTATAAAGATATATGTGATAACCTGGAATTTTGAAAACTCACTGAAATCCTGCTTCCTCTGCATTTTAAAAATCTTGTTAAGGCAGTAAATGATAAAAATCTATGTTGATTTTTGTTCAGAAGCCCATGTTAAATGAGGTAGAGAAGACCTAAAATAACAATGTTTTTTTAGAAGAAACTATTAGAATAGTGTGGTGTTAGGGTGGGGGAAATTTTAGGAACTATAATAAATTTCTCTTTTCTTACATTTCTTATTGTAAAACAATAAAATATTCACCTCAAGATAATAGCATTAGCACCTTTCCTTTCTTGATGTGTCCTTAATTGCTCTTGAGCGATTATATTTTTGGGCAATAGGAGATTTAATTTGGTCATCAAAAATGAAAGTAATCTGAATTTGGAAATCATACCTAAAGTGGCTTTTGCTCTAGGGTTATTTATTTACTTGAAAAAGAATGATGAGTGAATAAATGTTAAATCATTTAAGGTTCTTTAGCTAAAAGCAGTAGAAATCAACTCTGGCTAACTTAAGTTAAAAAGAAAAAGAAAAAAAGCAGCATTATTTATCAGAAAGCTATGAGGTAGCTTATAAAACTGAAGGGAAGTGTGAAGAGCCTGACCCTGGGTGGCTCCAGATATCCAAGTAGAGGGAAGCAGTGCATGCTTTCTTCAGGGGCTGGTGAATTCCAGTTGTTTTCCATCTTTATATCTTTCTACCCAAGATTCAAAATCAGGTAATCAAAATCGTAAGATCAAAAATCATATATAATTCTTAATTTTATAATTGTATTCATCTTTTTTTCCCCTAAGAAAACCACCGTTTTCGTAAGTTTATGTTTTGTTTTTCATGTGTCTGATGGCTTAGCATTGGTTTTCATCCTTCTTTTCTGTGTCTTAGGTGTATTTGAAGGCTCCCATGATTCTGAATGGAGTCTGTGTTATCTGGAAAGGCTGGATTGACCTCCAGAGACTGGATGGTATGGGCTGCCTGGAGTTTGATGAGGAGCGAGCCCAGGTAGGGCGACTTCAGGCTTTACTGACCATGGTCCCTTTGTTTACCCCAAATCTTGCCTTTTTCTGGGGATCCATGTACCCGGTCTTTCAGAGTAAGTAAAGAAAGTTTCATATTCAGGTAATATTGAGGAATCCTGAAGATGTTGAGAACCAAATTCTGGTCTTGGTTTTGGGAAAGTTGTTCCTTCAGTGGTTCTAAATTTCATTGGATTACCCCTTTCTGCTTAGTGGGGGCCTTCAAAGTCCAGTAAATGGTTCTGTTTAATACTTGTTCTTGATCTTTAGAACATTATGAGGGAAAAAACCAGTTCAAAATAAAATCTAGGAGCAGCACTTCTCGAATGGGTGAGTAACTAGCTTGGCAAATCCTCTCCCCAAAAAGCAGTGATTAAACTGGACAAAACTGTAAAAATAAATACCCATTTAAGGTCTCTGGAAATTAACCCAGGGACATAAATTGAGAGGCATATATTCAAACAAGGCTATTGAATTTCAGGAAGAACAGTGATAGTCTGTGGCATTTTAGTCATGAGCTGCTCTCTTAGCTTCCCTCAGCTCTGTGGTCCCTCAAGTTCTACCCTGGGTAGGCAAGGCAAGCCATGACGACTGGCAGCTCTGCTGTCCTGTCAGAGAGAGCTGACTTTATTTAGGGCAGCGCTTGGAAAAATGCACACCCTGGGATGTTATTGAAAGCAGTAGAGGTCTCTGTGGCAAACAGTCTGGGAAAGCTAATGTTGCCGGAAGCAACAAAATGACAGACTAGCCAGAAATTTATCAAGGAGATCTAGGGAAGAGATAGCTAAATTGCATCCTTCTAAGATCACACTTAGCTCTCATGGTCCAGAAGGCGGTGTGCATGTGCAAGGCTACACCTGTTGGAGAGAGAACAAAGAGGGCCCGTGCAAGCTCTACTAGTCCCTGGCTGAACACAGGATAGACTGCTAAACTCCCTGCACTTTGAAAGGATTACCCAAGCTGCACCCAGTTCCAATGGCAAAGGACAGGTGCCTACTGGCTTGAGGTGTTTAAGCAAAATCTCTGACCGATCACTGCCTGACTAGTAAGTTATGCTGCCCCAGGGGCAACGCCCTAGAAAGCAAGGCTGTGCACTGCTGGGGAAACAGACTACAGAATTAGTCCAGGCAAGTCTCTAAACAAACAACAGCAACAACAAGCTGGAGGCAGGGTTCAGAATTCAGAGTTGCTACAGTATATTATTTAAAATGTCTGGTTTTCAACAAAAAAATTGAGATGTGCAAATGAAAACTGTGACTGATATTCAGGAAAAAAAGCAGGCAAAAGAAACTATCTTTGAAGGAGCCCAAATGTTAGTTCTTAGTGACAGAGACTTAAAAGCATTTATTTATCAGTATGTTCAAAGAACTAAAGGAAAATTCTTTCCTTTAAAGAATTAAAGGGAAATTATGATGACAATAGCTCATCAAATAGAGAATATCGGTAAAGAGATTTAAATTATTACAAAGAATCAAATAGAAATTCTAGAATTGAAAAGTACCATAACTGAAATGAAAAATTCACAGACTCAACAGCAGATTTGAGCTGGCAGAAGAAAGAGTTAGTGAACTTGACCGTGGATTAATAGAGATCACTCAGTCTGAAGAACAGAAAGGAAAAAAAAAAGAAAAATGAACAGTCAGAGACTGGGACACCAGCACGCATGCCAACATATGTGTGATGAAGCTCCCAGAAGGAAAGGAGAGAAAGGGGCAGAAAATATATTTTAAGAAATAATGGCTGACATGCTATGGTGGCGTCCCATATATAGTAGAGGAAGATGGGCACGGATGTTAGCCCAGGGCCAATCTTCCTCAGCAAAAAGAGGAGGATTGGCATCAGATGTTAGCTCAAGGCTAATCTTCCTCACAAAAAAAAAGAAAGAAAGAAAGAATGGCTGAAAACTGCCAAATTTGATGGAAAATACTGATCTCCATATCTAAGAAATTCAATGAATTCCAAGTGTAGGGTAAACATAAAGCAATCCACACCTAGATACATCATAGTCAAATTGATGAAAAACAGAATTTCAAAAGCAGCAAGAAAAATCCCTTACAAGGGAGCCACAGAAAGATTAACAACAGCTGACTTATCTTTTGAAATTGTGGAGGCCAGGAGGTAGTGGGATGACATTCAAAATGCTGAAAGAACATGTAAAAGTATCTGATTATTAGCAAGTGTTAATTTCTTTCAATGGTTTGATATTGATTCTCTTTAAGTTAAAATAATCAAGAATAAAAAGGAGCTCTCTTTTTGTTATTCTTTCTGTTGTTTCAGCCCATGTTCTCCATATATGAAAATGTGAGAATTTTCCTATCAAGAGATCAAAAAACTTCTTAGTAAAAAATTAAGATTTAAAGTTAAAGTTCTAGAGCCAGCCCCGTGGCTTAGTGGTTAAGTGCGTGCGCTCCGCTGCTGGCGGCCCGGGTTTGGATCCCAGGTGTGCACCGACACACCGCTTCTCCAGCCATGCTGAGGCCGCATCCCACATACAGCAACTAGAAAGATGTGCAGCTATGACATACAACTATCTACTGGGGCTTTGGGGAAAAAAAATAAATAAATAATTATAAAGTTAAAGTTCTTAAGAAAGAATCCCTGCTACCTTGATGTCCATAGGGATGAGGAGTCACCAGCTCTTTCAGAAAAATAGTAAATAATAGACAATTTAGAGGGCTATTTCTGTAAGAAGTGATACAGCAGATTGAATTCATGTAAGGGAAAATTTCAGATTGAGTTGATTTCTAAAACTGAAATATTTTACTAAAATAATAGGTAAAAATTTTAAGTTTAACCCACAGCATTTTCTATACTTAAAATTTTCCAAGCTTTGTTGTCCCAGTCCACAAATTGAGCCTTATTACTACAAAGTAAGAGCTCACTGTTGTGACAGTGAACTAATGTAATCAAAGGTCTTACATAATGTAAAAATTTCAAAGCAGGGGATCCCAGCCATTCAGTCAGCAGTCAGCACATCTCTGTAGCTTTCCCCGTCCCCAAATCATCTGCAAGATAATAAAAGTAAAGGGCCATAAGATTAAATGAGGTCTTAAGAATAGGGCCCTGATATGATTAGTGTCCTGATAAGAAGAGGTATACAAGAGAACTTGCTCATTCTCTCTCTCTGCCATGTGAGGACAAAATTCTCTAACAGGTGCTGAGATAACTTGTAAGCTAAGAGATGAACAGAGGATAGTCATAGTTCCATTTTTAAAAATTGTGTGTAAGCATTTCAGCTGAAATATTTTCATAGGTATTGTCTTTTTGCCTATGTTCAGAGTACCTTTGACAAACATTGGCAAGGATATGGAGCAATAGTTGGTGTGTTGGTTGGTTATGTAAAATTGACACAACATTTGGAAAATAGCAATAAATACTGAAGTTGAACATAGGTATATCTGTGATCCAGCAGCTCTACTCTAAGGCATGGTATGCGACGGGAGTGAATACATGTATTCACTAAAGATGTGTAGTAGGACACTTGTAGCAGCATTATTAGTAATAGCCAGAAACTGCAAACTACCCAAATGGCCATTAATAGTAGAATGGATAAATTGTATGTTCACACAAAGAAATATGGTGAGAATGAAAAACTACAACTAGCACACCAATATGGATGAATTTCACAAATATACTGAGTATACAGAAAGCACATGCTGTATGAATCCATTTATGTAAAAGTATAAAAATGGGCAAAACTAGTACACGCTGTTATGGGACCAGCCTGGTGGCATAGTGGTTGAGTTCATGTGCTCCTCATCAGCGGGCCTGGGGTTCACAGGTTCAGATCCCAGGCTCGGACCTAGGCGCCGCTCATCAAGCCATGCTGTGGTCGTGTCCAACATACAAAAAGGAGGAGGATATTAGCGCAAGGTCAATCATACTCACCAAAAATTTTAAAAAAAATGTACATATATATATATGCTGTTAGAAGTAAGGATAGTGGTTTATCCTTGGGAGAGGAGACTAGTTACTGGAATGGAGCAGAAGGAGCCTTCCAAGATGCTGGTGTTATTCTATTTCTTTATATAGATTCTAGTTACATGGCAAGTTCAGTTTGTGAAAATTTATCAGCTATGTTTTAGGACAGTGCTGTCCAGTAGAATTCACATGCAAGCCACATAATGTAATTTAAATTTTCTAGAAGCCACATTAAAAAGTAAAAAAAAAAACATAATTGTAATAAATTTTTGTATTATTTCATTTAACCCAGTATATTCAAAATATTATCATTTGAACATGAAATCAATATAGAAATTTATCGAGATATTTTACCTTTTATTTGGTAATAGGTGTTTGAAATCCAGAGTGTATTTTCCGCTTACAGACTGAGACTAGCCACATTTCAAGTGTGCAGTGGTCACATGTGTGGCTAGTGGCTACCATACTATGGCACAGACTTAAGATATGTGTACTTTTTTTTATGTATAATATACTTCAATAAAATGTTTTAAAAGTTTCCCATAAATGAAGATATTTCTGAGTACAACTATAGAAACTCAAAATTAAATCATGTTTACTGATTGTATTTTCATCTTTTATTTTCTGTAATTTGTAGGGATAAATTTCAATGTCTTTATACATTTGGTTTTCAATAATTGCAATTCTCTAAAAGCTTGAAAGACTGAAAGTTTTGGCAGTTCGCCATTGAATAATCAGAGATTTCCAACTAATTTTGAACAAAATATAACTACAAGGACTCATTTACCAAAAAAGGGACAATGCCAGTGTGGAAACTAGGTTGATTTCAGAATAGTTCTTCAAAGGCTCAAATTTTCTAAAATCCAAAGCACACGAGAACTGTCATGATGACTTTTTTTGAATTCAGCATTAGCTTTGTTGCAAAAATTTTATAGTTCAGTTCCTTTAACTATGGAAACATAAATATATTTGTAATTTATACGACTGTAACTTCTAAATGATTGGCAGAATATTTCACTTCTTTGGATACAATTATGGATTATGTACATACCACAACTAGTTCCTAGTAAATTACTATTTTATAGTTTTTAAAAATTCAATGATAATGTTATTTTTTATAGTGTGTGCTCTCCACCATTTGTATTTGTATTTTAATATAACAGCCAGTAATTTTATCTTCATTGTTGTACTTTTTAAATGTACTTTGGCAGTCACAAAAAGATGTTTCACATTCAATGTAATGACCTTCCAAAGTTTTATTTTGATTCTATGATCAGGTTAGAAAAGTTGGACCATTTTTGGAATTAACAGATTTTCTATTTAAAGTACTTGATGACACTGATGTAAAACTGGCATCCTTTTGCTGTTTGCAAGGTTTTTCTATTAATGATGCCAATGTATAAAACAGCTTTGCTTTTTGTATGTGCGCGAGAATGTGAGTGAAATTAATTTAGAACTGTCATTTGATTCAAATGAAAAGTTATGTTCTATAGAGTGATGTTAAATGTACAGCGTTTGCAGCTGTACATGTTAAATTGTCGCCTTTGAAGTATATGTTGATGCTGCTTCAGCAGATTTATTTCTTTTGGTTTTCGTGTGATCAGTGATACCATTCTGGTCCCCACAGAGAATGGTAAATGTCATTATTTTGTGCAAGTTACACATTCATCATCAACTTGCTTGGAAACGAATTTGATTTTTTGTTGTTGTTGTTAAACATGCACTTCCATTTTTTAATAAATTTATTGCTGCAGAAAAGTAAGTATTCCCAAACTGTAAAATAAATATAGTCATAGATTTGGACAATACAATAAAGACAGAACCACTGCAGCAGGAGTGGTCAGAATATTCTCTATATGCCCTACGTCAGCACTGCTAGGTCTTTATTTCTCACATGGGTTTCACACACACCCAACCACCTTTTATGATTACCCCACCTGACTACTTTGTGCAGATTGTGGTAAAGATCGTGGAGTGACAGACTAGTATAACAAGTAGCTGGCAGGGACCAGAGTGTTGAAAACCTCTCCCACTACCACCTGAGACTGGATAGATTTTGTTGTGCCGAGCCATTTGAGCATACTTTTTGGGTGAGCTTGTAGTTTTATCAGCAAGTGCCTTTTATGCTATCCTTGAAAGGGAGGTGTTACTTAAGGTTGCAACAGGCAAGGGTCAGGATAACACTGGTAATCTCTGATCATCTTTCAGATTTAACCATTTATTAAAGTGCATACTCTGTTCATTGCATATACATTTCACATCTCACTAGAAAAGACCAAGACAGAAGCTGGAATTAGAATATAGAAGGCTACCAAATCTCTCTTGGCTTATTTTACTACAACTATTAGTAATAATACATTTTTTCTTTGAATGAAATAAAAATCTGTGACCTTTGCTAGAATACACATTAGTGGCTAATAACTTCCTTAGGGAATTAGATCACGTCTCATGTTATATGCTCTCATTTCGTCGTGTAGTTTTCCTCTACTGTACTTAATCACAGTTGGTAATTATGTGTTGATTTTTATGATTATTTGTTCATTGTCCACCTGCCCCACTAGACCAGAAGCTGTGAGGAAGAGTACCATTTGCTCCCTCACTATCCATGACACCTAGCATTGTGACTTGGACATAATAAAGACTCACTAAATATTTGTGGAATAAGTGAAAAAGTGAATGAATGAATGCACAGGACAGAAAGGGTATCTTGTTATCAGCAGATGTGTCCCAGTTGATAGCTAACTAAATAATAGAAAGCCCTTGGGAGATGGAAACAGCATTCTTTTGCAGGTACCTCTGGCGTGTATAGTACATTCCGAGAATACAGTAGGTATGTATAATGATGTTTTGTCAAATGTGTAAATTTTATATATCCACAAATGCTTGTAGAATAATAGCACTTATTGAAAGTTATCAGGTAGTATGCTTAAGCACTTTTTATATGTTATCTCATTTAATCTTTACAACAATCTTGTAAAGTAAGTATTACTACTATGCACATTTTACATGTGAGTGTACTGAGGCTTAGAAAAATGAAATACCTTGCCCTGGATCATAAAGCTGGTAAATGCATCATAAAAGTGGAAATTTGATCACATCTTTCACTTTTGTTTAAGTTACAGACATTGTCAGTGAAAATTCTAAGTATTAACCCTACTAACAGTGACAAATAAAGGATTTATCATACAGAACAAGATACTCAGCAGTACACAGTCCAGGCCTGGTATAGCACTTAGTTATATTATCAGGGGCCCTGGATCTTTTCATCTTCCTGTTGTACTATGCTCACTGTGTGACTATATCCTCATTATTATGTTTGCAAGGTGGCTGCTGTATCTCTGGGCATTGCATCAGTTCCCAGTTAGGAGGAAAAGTGAAATGTCTCTTAAATGACGTTCTTAGAATCCCCATTAAGTGACTTAAGCTTCTATCTCATTGGCTAGAACTGAGTTACCTGGCTACCCCTTGCTGCAATGAATCTAGGAAGGTGAATGTTGATGACTTTTTTGGTATTGTTTTTGACCTTTTAATTTCTTCAAGGGTACCATTGAAAATCCTAGTATGGAGAAGTATGTGACAGCAAAGGTCGAGCACCCTGTGTTATAGACAGTAAGGGAGCTTTTCTGAGTTGGGAGTTTTTGTGGTCAGATTGTGCTTTAGAAGGCATGCTCTGATGGCTCTGTGGTGGATTGGGGATAAGAGAATGGAAGCAGGAAGAGACTGTTTAGGAGACCTTTGCAGTAATACAGGTAAAAGATCTTAAGAGCCTGAACTAGGAAAATGTTTGTAGGAATGAAAAGGAGACTAAAGATTCCAGAAATGTTTATGTTACAAATATTTTTTGTTAGTAATGTTCCTTGGAATTTTATGTACTTTTTGTTATCTAGAAGTTTCTAACATTTGTATAATCAATTCTGTTAATATCTGCTCAATAGTCTCTTTTACATTTCTGACTTTAGTGTCATAATTAGAGGGACTGGCCTGTCTTATCCCTACATTACAGAAATATATACCAGTTTTTTTCTTGTACTTCTATGGTTTAAATATTGACTTCATCAGGCCTTTTTTTTTTTTTTTTTTTTTTTTTTTTTTTTTTTTGGTGAATAGGATGAGGTAAGGAAAGAAAAGGGAAGAGTCTTTTCAGTTGTTAGAATATGATTGAACATGACAGTTGTTTCCAAGGTGTGATATAAAGTATGAAAAATACTGAAGTTTTCTTGTAAAAGTAGCTCTGACATAATTTAATTTTTTTTATGGTTTTAATGTTTTGAGAAATACTCTGCTATTCATTTCCTTCAAAAAATAAAACACCCCTAAATTTTAAATTTGTATTATAAATCAAAATTAAAATATCTAGGGGCTGGCCCCGTGGCTTAGTGGTTAAGTGCGCGCGCTCCACTACTGGCGGCCTGGGTTCGGCTCCCGGGCGTGCACCAACGCACCGCTTCTCCGGCCATGCTGAGGCCGTGTCCCACATACTGCAACTAGAAGGATGTGCAACTCCGACATACAACTATCTACTGGGGCTTTGGGGAAAAAAAAAGGGAGGAGGATTGGCAATAGATGTTAGTTCAGAGCCAGTCTTCCTCACCAAAAAGAGGAGGATTAGCACGGATGTTAGCTCAGGGCTGATCTTCCTCACAAAAAAATAAAAAATAAATTAAAAAAAATTAAAATATCTATTTTATGTCTCCTCTGACAGCAGGAGGATGCATTAGCACAACAGGCCTTTGAAGAGGCTCGGAGAAGGACACGTGAATTCGAAGATAGAGACAGGTCTCATCGGGAGGAAATGGAGGTGAGAGTTTCACAGCTGCTGGCAGTAACTGGTTAGTACTTTCCCCCAACCTCTCAGGCTCTATTTGTGATGTTTGTGTATAATGTTTTTAAGTTGTTTAATTTTGTCTTTCATTTTTAAAAAGTTGTTCTCTGTGACTTTGTGTTTCTTAAATGCAGTTAATTGCTATAAAAAAACTTAGTCTTAATTTTAAGGTTGTATATGAATTCCTCATTTATTGGTCCTCATAAATTCATTTACTATAACAAGGTATATTTTCTCCTGGTTCATTGATCCAAATATCTTACCTCTTTTTTAAAAATTATTTTTCAAATTATTTGTAAAAATTACCTTATATTAACATAGAATACATATTTTTAGAATGTTATTAAAACTCCTTGGGAGTAATATTACTTTCCATTTTTCTATGAATATTTGTGTTGTTTTTGTAACATAATTTTCAGTCATTTGTTATGTGCTCTTTACTAGAGGAAAATTTAATATTTACAGACTACTCAAAGAATGGAATTTACCTAGATTATTTTTCTTTTTATTTTAACCTTTTTATTGTAAAGTAAAATACAGATAGGGGCCCGGCCCCGTGGTGCAGCAGTTAAGTGCGCATGCTCTGCTGCTGGCGGCCCGGGTTCGGATCCTAGGCACGCACCGAGGCACCACTTCTCCGGCCGTGCTGTGGCATCGTCCCATATAAAAGTGGAGGAAGATAGGCACAGATGTTAGCCCAGGGCCAGTCTTTCTCAGCAAAAAGAGGAGGATTGGCATGGATGTTAGCTCAGGGCTGATCTTCCTCACACAAAAAAAAAAAGAAGAAAAAAAAATAAAATAAAATACAGATATAGAAGTCTACCCAAAAGAAATATGTAGCTTAATTATTATAAGGCTAACACCCTTGTAACTACCATCCAGGTCAAAAAATAAAACTTTGGCAGCTACCTCAGCAGCCTCCTCCATATGTACATGTTATTTTGACCTTCTGCCTCCCCTCAAAAGTAATTATTATTTCAATTTTTTTATAGTACTCACTTCCTTGTGTCTTTTTATAGTTTTATTATCCATGACTACTTTAGCCTTAGACACTGAAATTTGGTCTTACCCAGTTTGTCTTCTGTAAATTTGATATAACTTTTAAAGATTTTATTTATTTTATTTTTCCCCCCAAAGCCCCAGTGGATAGTTGTGTGTCGTAGCTGCACATCCTTCTAGTTGCTGTATGTGGGACTCGGCCTCAGGATGAACGGAGAAGTGGTGCCTCGATGCGCACCCGGGATCCG